ATATATATTAAGAGCAAATCAATTTGTTATTAGTATTGTATTCATAATAATAAATAATAAACATGTTAAAATTTAAGTTATACCATAAGATGAATAGAATAACAATTCGAATACTCATTTAGATTCTCTAAATGAGAAAATAAAATATAACAATTCAAATAACAAATACTTTAAAGAATCTCTTCAATGTATCGCAAATAAAAAATTAAGATATAAGCATGGAACGATACAAAAATTGAAAATGAATATCCTGTTCATTTCGTAAAAATAATGTTTCCAGATCTGAGGTACGATTCGGCTACGAGGATCCCCCCGAGCGATCTAACCGGTCGTAATGCACAGTCGATCGTGCTCGGGGGGAGAGGAGAGAGGCGTGTATCCGGTAGGTTTTTCCGACGAAAGGCGTTTCCGGAAACGGTAGATTCCTTTTCGAGACAATCAACGATCTCGGAGCAACACGGATGATTGAAATTCTCTCGATCTTCGTAGGTGATAACGAGTGATTGGTAGTAACACGTACGACACGTTATTACATCATCAATAACTCGATCAACGAGACACAATCAGTGAGTCTATTAACGAAGCGATCGAGAGATAACTACTTGTACAACTTTAAAGAGGAGAAAGGTAAAAATAATTAATCTTGACGGCGCTAATTAGTCGCATTCCAATCCTATTAAATCAAGAGAGACACGATTGAGATCGACATCGACGGGCGGAAAGAGAACAAGATAATGCAGAAGATAGCGGTGATGGCCGCGGTGCAAAAGGCCCACGGCTATCATAACGGCAGCAACGCTTACGGGGATGCGAGTAACGCCTCACCGGAGTATAACGGCTCCTCGTCAACCAGCAAAAGCGGTCGCTTCGACGCGGATCTGCACGGCAATGTTAACATCCTTCTTGGTGGGTGAGTAACAACCGCACCAGCTGGACAGATGCTCCGACACAGCTCACAAAATGTAGGCGGAAGATATCTCACAGCGAACACACCTAATCTTGAGCTCTTTGAGAAGACGCATCGTCATCCCTCGCGCACATGCTTTGCTCCCTTAATCCTCCAACAGATTGTAGTTCGTACGTGTGACGTGTAGTTCGCACGTCAAACAGACCGTTGCATGTACAAGACACGACGAAAGTACTCAATTGCTTAGATAGCCGGTGGTTGAAAATTCAATGGTTGTTCCGCGAATTGAATGTGGGAGATTCAACCTATAAGTTAAAATTGGCTTATTGGAAGACTAGTTCTGAAGAAAGATAACGTTGCTCCTTTGAAATTTGAAATTTTTCCTCTTCACAAAGATAATTTTCATAAAAATATTTATATATATATATAAAATTTAACAAATATAATAGTAAAATTTATATTTTATATATAAATAAAATAAAAATGTATAAAATATTATATTCATGGAGTTTGATAATAATGTCGCAAAGTAGGATTAAATTAGAAAGTCGAAGATTTTTATTGCAGCAGTTACAGGTACAGAAGTATAGAAAACTTTAAACCGTCATTGTTAAATCCGCGGGTAATGAATTTTTATCTTAAATCGCTTTATTAGCAATTTAAGATAAGAGGACTTATGATGAATAAATGTTAATTAAACAGTTGTTGCAATTACACTTCTAACGCGTTATGCCGTATGCATATCGACGATAAGACTTGTTTTTGTATATTATCAGCTATGCAGTAAAATTCTTCGAGCGAACGACGTTATCTTTCGAGTTAATACCTGTCAAAATATATGAAACGTTTTTTTCAAGGTGCAATTTTTTGTTATATTGCCATAAAAGTTCGAAAATGCAGCAGGTGTTAAAAGTGACTGTTTTGTATTTCATCGCGTTTAAAAATTTCTGCTCCCTCCAGAGAGAAAATCGCACATTCACTCTTCCACCCAATCTTTATAGCAGCTACGCTTTTTTCCTCAACCGCATGGGCACCTCCTAGCACAAAAAGCACCGTCTAAACATCGTCTATATTGGTTCGCTTTTAGCGCCATGATCAGCGGTGTGATCATGATGGTGGTGCTCATATGCTATTGCTGTCACAAAAACGTCCGGAAGCATCGACCGCAGGAATACTCGCAGTACTGGAGAGCCGAACCGGACATTCATAGTCTGGAAGTCTTCACCATGGACACACACGTTAGTAAAAATTTTCACTCAAAAGATCATTCTAATCATTAGATATCGCGAGAATTAAATGCTCCATTAAATGCTCTATTTTTAACATGACGAATAATTTCTTGTATAAATAATCATAAAATGCTTATTAATTTTCTATAAATTGACCTTTCTATATATTGTAAAATCTTTATATTGTAAAATCATTGTTAAATAGAATCATTAAAATTGCATAAGAAAATTATTTTGAATATATTACAGATATAACACATGGATCAATAAGTCCCGAGACTAACAATGAAAACAACATTTTTTTTGCAAAATTTTTTTTTATTCATCAACATAATCACCTTTTAGGGTGATACAATGGTTCGCTTTTCTAATTTTTCAATACCATGTTTATAAAAAAATTTATCTTTCGCTTCAAAATAAGTTTCAGTTTCAGCGATGACCTCCTTATTTGAGCCAAATCTTTTTCCCTGGAGCATTTTTTTAAGATCAGCAA